TGTATATACGCTTGTTGGTGCTGTATACATGACAAGCATGCCATGCCATGCATGGGTAGTGGTGCTTGGGTCGATCATGATGTTTTTTCATTGAAGCAGCTACATGTTACCAATTCTTCACCCTTATCCCTCCCTGTTTTTCTCTTCCCCTCATCCCCTCTCCTCCCAATACCCTCCGTCTCTCCCCTCTCAAAGCACTTCGCAGTGGCAGTCTCAATGATATTCTTCATGGCAGCAACTGTCTTCTCTGTGCTCAAGCTCAACGGTAAGCCAAGGGAACCCCATGCCCTGCTTGTTGCTTGTGGTTGGGGCCACCCGTAAAGCACTTTGCAGTGGCGGTGTCAATGATATTCTTCATGGCAGCACTTCTCTGTTCTCGAACTCAACGGTAAGCCACGGGTTTATTATATTATTATCGTTATTATTAGTATTACTATTTTTCTTATATGACAATTATCATTATTATTGGTAAGCCACCAAACTGCCCCATCCGTGCTACCTCCTCCATCCTGCCTCTGCCCCACCCGTTCGTGTGGTGTGCACATGTGACAGAAGTCATTGGTATTGACTGGAGGATATGAGGCGTTTCCATGCTTGCCCCACCTGTGCTGTTGCCCACTCATGCTGCCTCTGCCCCACCCACTTGTGTTGAGCGCAGATGTGACAGAAGTGATTGGCATTGACTGGTGGACACTCCTGGTGGACCTCTGGTGAGTTACCCGAGTTTCCCGTACACCATTGCCTTTTCCTTGTCTTTCTGTCTTGCCGCCTGTCTTCTCGCTCCCCCTTGTTTTCCCCTTTTCTCTCTCCCCATTCTTTCTTCCCCTTCTTTCTACCCATTCCCTCTCTATGTCTCTCTCCCCCTTCCGCCCCCCCACCATCTTAGACAAGCTCTTTGCATTCCTCCTTTGCACTGCATGCACTGGACCAACCCTCGTGTGAAGAGGCGATTTTTGAGTCGACTCAAAAATTCCTCCTCTGCACTGCATGCACTGCATGCACTGGACCAACCCTCACGCATCTCTGCTGTGCCCCCCCACCCCCGCCCATCTGTTTCCGCACCATCTCCTCCCCACTATTCCCACCAGCATCAGCGAGTTCTTTGCCTTTCTCCTCTGTATGCAATGGACCAACCCTCCCCTTCAACCCTGTTTAACCGATATGTCTGCGCTTTCCCTCCTGCTCCTCTGTTTCCCCACGCATCCTCCCCTCTCTGTCAGCATTGGGGAATTCTTCGCCTTCCTCCTCTGCATGCAATGGACCAATCCGCATCAACCTCCCCCCCGCCCCTCCCCAGCCCCCTCTCCTCTCCTCCGCCCCTCCTACTCCTCCCCTTCCCTCCTCCCCTCCTCCCAACCACCCTCCTCCTCCTCTTCCTCCTCCTCCTCCACTTCCTCGCCTCCTCAAGGTACCGCCATCACCATCACCACTCCCCTTCTCGCGTCACAATCCCCACAGAGGGGCAGCAGCAGGGGTGGCAGCAGCAGTAGCAGGGGAGGTGCAGAGGGGGAAGAGGGTGAGTCAGAGTCTAGAGTAGCAGAGAGCGCGACTGTTGCTGGTATTGGTGCTGCTGCTTCAGGTGCTGCTTCTGCTGCTGGGGCTGGCGCTGCTGCTGCTGGCAGTGGTTCTGGTAGGGTGGTCGATCGAAGGGTGGGTAGTGGAGGGTCGGGTGCAGGAAGGGCAGGGAGAGGGGGCAGAAGAGGGGGAGGAGGAGGAGAGGGGGAGGAGGCTGAGGAGGATGAAGAAGCAGAAATAAGACGAGGAGGAGGAGGGGGAGGGGGAGGAGGAGGGGGGGAGAGAGGTGGTGGGGGAAGCGGTGTGGAGAGAGGTGGGGAAGGAGGAGGGGGGGCAGGAGCCGTGGGAGGAGGGGCGAGAGAGAGTGAGGAAGGGGGGGACGAGGACAGTGAGAGTGAGGTAGAGTTTCTCTGCGGTGCCCCGGAGGTGGGAGGGCATCTACTCAAAGCAGGGGTGATAGTCTTCCAAGTGCTCCTCTGCATGCGTCTCGAGGGCCAGCCCAACTGGGCAGCACACATGTCTTATTGGATGCTCTTTTCGCCGCTCCTTGCCGTCCAGCTGGCGGCGCTGATGTCAGCGCTGACTCAGCTCGCTGAGGGGGTGATGTTGTTGTACGCGCCCGAGTCCGGGCGGCGGTTTTCGGCGGTAGTGCGGGAGCATGATCCGTTCATGTTTGTGACGAGGGGGATGCGGCTGGCGGGGTGGTGGTGGCGGGATGATGAAGTGCGGGAGGAGCAAAAGAGCCTTACTGCCTCGTTGTTTCCAGGGTGAGTGTTGGAAGTAGTCAGGGGCACATCAGGGACGTTCCATGCTTGTGAGATGTGGCTGGCGGGGTGGTGGTGGCGGGATGACGAACCTACCCTCCCCTCCCCTTCCCTCCACAGCACGTATGACACGTTCGAGTTTTGAGGCGCCTCAAAAGCCCTCCCCTCCCCTTCCCTCCACAGCACGTATGACACGTTCGAGTTTTGAGGCGCCTCAAAAGCCCTCCCCTCCCCTTCCCTCCACAGCACGTATGACACGTTCGAGTTTTGAGGCGCCTCAAAAGCCCTCCCCTCCCCTTCCCTCCACAGCACGTATGACACGTTCGAGTTTTGAGGCGCCTCAAAAGCCCTCCCCTCCCCTTCCCTCCACAGCACGTATGACACGTTCGAGTTTTGAGGCGCCTCAAAAGCCCTCCCCTCCCCTTCCCTCCACAGCACGTATGACACGTTCGAGTTTTGAGGCGCCTCAAAAGCCCTCCCCTCCCCTTCCCTCCACAGCACGTATGACACGTTCGAGTTTTGAGGCGCCTCAAAAGCCCTCCCCTCCCCTTCCCTCCACAGCACGTATGACACGTTCGAGTTTTGAGGCGCCTCAAAAGCCCTCCCCTCCCCTTCCCTCCACAGCACGTATGACACGTTCGAGTTTTGAGGCGCCTCAAAAGCCCTCCCCTCCCCTTCCCTCCACAGCACGTATGACACGTTCGAGTTTTGAGGCGCCTCAAAAGCCCTCCCCTCCCCTTCCCTCCACAGCACGTATGACACGTTCGAGGCCGTGCCTCCAGTCCAGACCACATAAAGCGAATGCGAAAAGGTCAATTAGCAGAGGAGGTGGTGCGGCTGCAGGCGGCATTGGTTGCTCTCCCCTTATCCCATTCTCCTGTCCTACCCACCCTCCGCTCCCCCTGTGTTGCCCTCCCTCCACAGCACATACGACACCTTTGAAGCCGTGCCCCCGGACCACATAAAGCGAATGAGAAAAGGCCAATTAGCAGAGGAGGTGGTGCGGCTGCAGGCAGCACTGGCGGAGCAGGTGGAGACGGGCAAGGCGCAGCGGCAGGAGCTGGAGCGAGTGCAGCAGGAGAAGGTGCTGTGCCGCGTGTGCTTCGAGCGCGAGATCAGCCTCGTGCTGCTGCCCTGCCGCCACCGAGTCTTGTGCCAGTGAGTCACTTCAGTCCTCATGCCCCATGCCCCCGTGCCTCATGCCCCCAGTCCCAGTTTTTGTGTCATGGGTCGAATGCTGTGCTGATAGGTGGCTTGCAAGAGGGTGAGAGATCAGGGGGGCAGAGGGGGCAGTGGTGTGAGGGTGGGAGCTGGCTGGAGCGAGTGCAGCAGGAGAAGGTGCTGTGCCGCGTGTGCTTCGAGCGCGAAATCAGCCTCGTGCTGCTGCCCTGCCGCCGCCGCGTGCTCTGTCAGTGAGTTGCCTCCCTTGTGCCAGTGAGTGACCTCCCTTGTGCGAGTGGGTTGAATGATGTGCCAGTGAGTCGTCTGCTGCGCTAGCGAGTGCTTATTTCCCCTTCCCCCTTGCTGCTTTCCCCGTGGCACCACCAGTCCCTGTGCGAACAACTGTCGGCATAACCCCTTATGATGCTAAATCCTTGACCCTCACCCCCTCCTCTCGTCCCCTCTTGTGCCCATATGCCCTACCCCTCTCCCCCACTCCCTCCCCCCATCACACCATCAGCCCTTATGACAAGTGTCGGCAGTGCCCCATATGCTGCTATTCCCTACCCTCATTTTTGAGACGTCTCAAAAGTCGACCCCATATGACGCTAGTCCCTTGACCCTCTCTCCCTCCTTCCCCCTGACCCTCCTCCCCCCCATCACACAACCAGTCCATGTGCAGACAAGTGTCGGCAGTGCCCCATATGCAGGCGGCACATTGCCGACCGCATGGCCGTGTTTGACGTGTGAAGGGGGGGAGCGCCAGGTGCGATGTGGATATTACTTTTGAGGCGCCTCAATCCCCGGACCGCATGGCCGTGTTTGATGTGTGAGGGGGGGAGGAGCGGTGCCCATGTCCTGAGGCACCTCACAACTTGACACGCTTTTTGGGACGAGGGTCGCCTCTTGTCTGCTTGTAGTTTGTGATAGCGAGGTGCGCATTCTGCTGCAGTTGGGGTGGGGAGGGGGAAGGGGGGAAGTGGGGGGGGGGGGGAGGGAAGTGGGAGGAAGGGGAGGGAAAGGGGGGGAAGGGGAGGGAACGGGGGGGAAGGGGGGAGAAGTGCGTTACTTACCATTGTTGTGCATTGCTGGTTATCTAAGCAGCCGTGGTTCACTGGTGGAGTCGGGGAAATGGTGGGTTCACAGGCTGGTTAGGGTACATGGGCTGCACTGTTGGTGCTCCCAAGCTTGCATGCTCCAAATGTTAGTCAAGGCTTAAAGGTATATACAGTAGGTGGTACACGAAATACAAACCATATATATATAATAAGTTCACAGGTTAGCTAGCAAAGGCTGGAAAATCCGAGTACCGTATATAACTGAAGGAACCTTCTGGATTCTGCGTTGTTAAACTTATGCCGGACACTCTACATACACATGGATCGGCATGGTAAATTTGACTGGACAGCTTGATATACTGGGCTATTTGGGCATCTGATCCTATTCACAGATCTGGTCATATGGAGCTCATGGCAAACATGCAGCAAGTCTACTCATGCAACATGCTAAAAAACCCTCCACCACACACACGAGTGACAAACGGTAAAATGAAACATGAGGTTAACATGCATTAGCACGCGACTCGGCTCTCATGCGTTTGCGGCGCCTCCTTATCTGACGCCGCGTTAAAGGAACGCACTCTAAGCCCGCTGTGGCGGCATTGCCAATGCAAGGAGGCGGCGGTTCTTGTGGTTCAGACGGAGCAGGAAGATTCATGCGAGCAGTCCCAGTCTCCTGAAGCCTTGCGATGCAGGCCACGAGTTCAGGAACGCCGCCTGAAGGGCCGGATGGGTTCAGCCGATAGTGCAGTGCGGGCTTTAATCTCTTCTTATTCAGGAGATGATCCACCATTTTGGTTGCATCCACCCACCTGGCGTTTAGCCGAGCGACAACTGAAGCAGGTACAGCTGGGGTGGTGGCAGCTGCAGCTTTTTTCTTTACTGTCACAGCACCACCCGTAGTGCTGTTCGCTCCGTTCGTTTTAGTCACGCTGTTGTTTGTCACGCTGTTGATTGTCACGCTGTTGTCTGTCACACTGGCGCCGCCCTGCTTGGGGTCTTTGAGCCTGTCCGCGTGGCAGAGGAAGAACACGTGCCCGCTGTTCTCGCTGTAGAAGGCCTCTGATTGGTCCGCGAGTGCTGCTGCCACGTCAGCAATGCGCTTCTCCCACGTGGCACCCTTGAGGTTGTAATAGCCGGCCTCGTATTCCTCCACATACTCCCTGCAACGTGGCAGCAGCACGGAGGCACACACAGAGAGGCACACAAGGCCACATGGGAATGAAAGATGAGACTCATTAGGGCTTTAGGGCTTTGGGGCTTTAGGGCTTTAGGGCTTTAGGGCTTCGTCAACAATCACCTACCCGGACCACGTACTCCCTCCAAGCACTGCAGTAGCAGCAGCACACAGGGGCACATGAGGGTGAGATTTTTAGGGTCTGGATTTTCAGAGATTTTAAGAATCTTCTTGACAAACTCCCTGCAACGCTCCAGCACACCGGAGGATTTTTTTAGGCGGCCTCAAAAACCGCCACGTGGCACCCTTGAGCTTGTCATACTCAGGCCTCAAACTCCTCCACATGCTCCCTGCACCGCGGAGTGCAGAGTGTCACATGGAATTGAAGTATTAGGGGTTTGTAACAGCCCGTCTTGACAAACCTCCTGCACGGCACCTCACAGGGGCACATCCGGGTCCGGAGTGGCGGGGCGGGACAGGGCAGGGCGGGGTGGGGAAGCGCGGGGCAGGGAGGGGGAGGGAGGGGTGGGGAAGGGGGAGGCGGAGCAGGGAGGGGAGGGCGGGCCGGGGAGGGGGGAGGCGGAGCAGGGAGGGGAGGGCGGGGCAGGGAGGGAGAGGGCGGGGTGGGGAGCGGAGGGCGGGGCAGGGAGGGCAAGGATGGGGAGGCAGCACGCACTGCATACCGCGCAGCAGTGCGGACGGGGGAGTGGTTATCCGCCTCCTCCTTCTTCCCCCCGAAGTCAAGCAGAAACACCCCGCTCTTCTGCATCTTCCGCCTCCGCTTCTCCTGCCGCTTCCGCCCCTTCTCCTGCAGCCGGTGCTCCGCCTTGAGCGCTTCCAGTCGCCTCTTCCGCATCTGCGGGTCTTCCTGCGCCAACTGCATCCGCGCAAGCTCAATGAATCTCCTCCGCTGCGCCGCAACGTCCTCCGCAACAGCCTCTTGCGATTGATCCGAGGGATTTTGACTCTCTCGCATTCGCTCCTCCTCACGTTCTTGATCCTGATCCTGCATCCGCTTCTCCTCCTGCTTCCGCGCGCTTTCCCGCAGCCGGTGCTCCGCCTTGAGCGCTTCCAGCCGCTTCTTCCGACTCCGCGGGTCTTCCTGCGCCAACTGCATCCGCAACTGGTCGTTCAGCCTCTTCCGCTTCGCCGCACCGCTCTCCGCTCCAGTCTCTTGCGGCTGATCCGAGGGGTTTGCACTCGCTTGCTTTTGCTCCTCCTCATTCTCTTGATCCGGTTCCTGCTTCGCTACTATCTCTTGCGGCTGATCCGAAGGATTCGCACTCTCTTGCTTGTTCTCCTCTTCATCCTGATTCTGCTTTGTTGCGTCGCACGCGGATGCGATTGCGCGGGGAGCCCCAGGCGTGCGCCCGCTCGCGGATGCTTGATTGCCCGAGGGTGCGATAGCGCGGGGGGGGGCAATGCCCGCACCCTTCTGTATGGAGCAAAAAGAACAACTGGCCGGCATCGTCATAGCAGTACGGGACGATGCCGGCAGCACTGTAGCAGGCGCTCACCGCCGCGAGCCACGCGTTTGATTCCGCCATTGGTAATGCCAGGTGGACCGAGAGTGCGGCATATGTTGGATGGCTGGGGTTTTGAACTGTCCCGTACGCGATAAAAAATCCAAAACTCTCGAAAATGTTTGCAAATTTAGAACGATTCGCGATGAATGTTTCAACAAACAATTGAATTGATAATGTAATATGGACACAACATAAGGAACAGTGCAACGCATAAGCTCCAACATACTGTGAAGGGGAGGTTCCTAACGAGTAGTGTGACAAACAAGACTGAAGCAAAACTGGCAAAAGGGATGCTTACGATGCACACTCCCTCAGGTCCTACCTAATATAGGGTTAGTTACAAGCGAGACTAAATACAGCGTGCACAGCTAACACACGCAAGGGCAGTTATAGAATTATAGGGGAATTAGCGTTTGTGTGCTATGATTTTGCAGAGCCTTTGGAGAGTCGCTTCAAAGCACTGTAGCAAAGCCGTTGATGCTGTGAAACGATGCGCGTTGTGTCGTGTGCCAAGGTAACGAGGTGAAGTGCAAGTTGACTCAGAGGTCGCCTCGCCTCAAAGAACTGAAGCAAATCTGTTAATGCTGTGACACAATACGGCTCGCAGCCAGGGCAGGCACGGCAGACAGTGCAAGCGGGCAGGTCTTCAGAGGGCACGCAGCCAATGAGGAGCCTCCAGGTCAGAGAGCATGCCCCGAAAATAATTTACAAGTTGCACCGCAGGGAAAATGGAAGGGCATACTGAAGGGCAGCTGTAGAAAAGGCTGAACCAGCAGAGAGTATCAGCCGGCTTGGGAAAATGTTGATTCAAAACAGCTTTCTAGGCGCTCTGCTGCTTTTGCCTTGGCTGACTTTCAGCCCAGCACAGAAGCCATAGCTGTAGAAAGAGGGTTAGAGCAAAGGAGGGGTAGAGAGGGTCAGGACAAGAAATGATTAGACAAGGGACTAAAAATAGGCTGAGGTAGTATACCCTGCATATACTACTTGAGACTTGAGCAAGAACAGCCAATGCAGGGTATACTACTCAGGTGCCAGGCGCCCCTTAAGAGGCCATTCAGAAAAGAAGAAAAGAAGAAAAGAAGAAAAGAAGAAAAGAAGAAAAGAAGAAAAGAAGAAAAGAAGAAAAGAAGAAAAGAAGAAAAGAAGAAAAGAAGAAAAGAAAAAAGAAGGAAAAAAAACATGATGGAAATGGGAACTCTACTGTCACTGGCATCACCACCAGCATACCCCAAGCAAACACACAGAGAAGGGAGTGGCCAATCAGAGCGCACCTCCCAGAGCAACAGAGCGCCAGGTGGCAGCAGCTGAGCGGTCGAGAACCTCCATGACCTCCTCCTCGGTCTGAACGGGCCGGGAGGGGGGGGCGAGATGGGGGCGGCAGAGGTTGTCAAATAAGAAGGCGCGGTGTGAAATGCAGGGGTACAGTTCACGTTTGACATGGCCCATCCCTGTTGCTTTGCCATGCTGCCACACGCCTTCACCCCACCCTTCTCGCCTTCACCCCATCGGATCCTTCCTCCCCTTCCCGCACCTTCTCCCTGCTTCTCACCTCGCACTGCTCCAGCAGCTGCTCGCGTTTCGGCATGGCCCAACCCCACAGTTGCACCGCCATACACCTCTCAACCTCGCCACCCCCTCCACCCCCCTTTCTTGCTCTAACTTCCTTGGTTCCCCCCCCTTCCCTGCCTCTCACCTCGCACTGCTCCAGCAGCTGCTCGCGCTTGGGCATGGCCCACCCCCACAGCTGCACCGCCACCTGCACTGCGCGGCTCTGCTGGTCGCGCGTCATCTCCGCACCTGCAGGGGAGGAGTCAGGGAGAGTTGAGGGATGGGTCACAACAGGGGATTAGAAATGACAGGAGGCGCCCACATTCACAAAGAGAGAGCTGGCTCGTCGCAAACAATATTTGTCAGCAAGCTCTGCTGTTCACGACGAACCAGCTCCGCAGCTACACGAACCAGCGCACCCCCAGATGGCAGCGGACCCTTGGCCGCTGCACCTAGGGGACATCCTCCACACGCTGGAGGGGTAGAGGGTCACTCAGGGGGGGGGAGGGTCAGAGGGGTGGGTTAATGGGTCAGAAGGTCTAAGGGAATCACGAGTCAAATTGCATGTCTGTACCCCCTGCTGAATTAATACAAAAGGCCATTTGAGAGAGAGAGAGAGAGAGAGAGAGAGAGAAAAAAAAAAAAAAAAAAAAAAAAAAAAAAAAAAAAAAAAAAACCATGGGGGCTTGGAGGGCTAAAGACAATGCATGGATGATGACTGCCGAGTCGGGTAATTCCAGTCAGTGAAACAAACACGTCAGATACGTGAGGGAGTCAAACCAGTCAAACGAATCAGGCAATTCAAACAAGTCAGACAAGTCAAACCAGTCAAACAAGTCAGACAAGTCAGGCAAGTCAAACAAGTCAGACAAGTCAAACCAGTCAAACAAGTCAAACAAGTCAGACAATTCAAACAAGTCAGACAAGACAAACAAGTCAAGCACTCACAGTCTTCCACCAGAGTGAGCAGCTTGGCAACGAACAGCGCCGACCCCCCTTTGACAGGCCAGAGCACGCTGGGGCAGGCAGCAATGCGCGCCACGACAGCTAGCGACAGGTCAACCCAGTCATCGTCCTCTGGGTCAAGCAAGTCAAGCAGGGTCTGCGCGGAGGAGCCCTCTGGGAGTACATGTAGCAGCCCGTGCATGCCCCAGTCCAACACCTCCCCTGCTGTGGCATCCGAGCACGACCCATCCTCCTCTAGTTTCTGAAATGCGAAGGGAGCCAGAATGGGGGGACAAGAGGGGGATGGGGCAAGGGATGAGGCGAGAGAGGGTTAAGAGGAGGAGGGGGGGGTATGTGCAAAAAGACGGGAAAATTGCCTCTAAGAAGCATCAGAATCAGGTGCAAAAGAGAAAGTGAGAGCATGGTTGAGCCAAGGACACTCCCATCGTAGTCGAGCCAGACAGGTAACGCGTGCATGGCCTCCATGAGGCGAAAGGCATGTGCCAAGCAGGCATGCATCTCACTCTCCAGCAGCCACTTGCTCTGAGTCACCTTTTGAGTCGACTCAGAAGTCACCTTTTAACACAAAATACTCACATTGTAGTGGAGCCACATAGGTAACGCGTGCATGGCCTCCATGAGGCATGGCGAGAGGCATGGCGAGAGGCATGTGACCTGACCTGGTATTTCGCTCTCCACCAGCCGCCGGATGCGCACTTGACTTCTATGGCTTTTCACCCACCACCTAAACCAGCCTTACCGAGAGCAGGTGAGCGCGAAAACGAGGGAGGAAGAGTCTCACATGGTAGTGGAGCCATATCGATAGCGCGTGCATGGCCTCCATAAGACACGGCATGTGGCTCATCTCGCTCTCCACCAGCCACTAGCTCTGAGTCACCTTACAACTCAGAACACTCAAATCGTAGTTGAGCCAGATTGACAGGGCGTGCATGGCCTCCATGAGGCGCGGCATGTGGCTCATCTCGCCCTCCACCAGCCGTTCGATGCGCAGCCACATGGGCCACCCCACCTCGGAACCCACCTTACCGGGTGCAAGAGAGCGAAAGAGAGTGCGAGCGACAGAGAGCTCACATCGTAGTTGAGCCAGATTGATAACGCGTGCATGGCTTCCATTAGACGCGGCATGTGAGGCATCTCGCTCTCCACCAGCCATCAGCTCTTTTCACCCACCACCTTGGAACCCACCTTACCGAGTGAGAGTGAGCGTCAAAGAGAGAAAGAGAGACTCACATCATAGTTGAGCCATATGGAGAGGGCGTGCACGGCCTCCATCAGACGCGGCATGTGGCTCATCTCGCCCTCCACTCCACCAGCCGTCCGATGCGCAGCCACATGGAACGAGACACCTCAGAACCCACCAGGTGCAATGCAAGAAGACTCACATCATAGTGGAGCCAGATTGACAAGGCGTGCATGGCTTCCATGAGGCGAAGCATGTGGCTCATCTCTCTCTCCACCAGCATCAGCTCTGAGTCACACTAGCGCCAACCCACCAAGTGCAAGGACACTCACATCGTAGTTGAGCCAGATTGACAGGGCGTGCATGGCCTCCATGAGGCGCGGCATGTGGCTCATCTCGCCCTCCACCAGCCGTCCAATGCGCAGCCACATGGGCCACCCCACCTCCGACCCTGGATTGCCCATCCTCTCCACCCGAGCCACTGCCCGAGCCTCGCGGTCAGCCTCGGAGCCCTCGCCGAGCCACTTGTTGAGCACCACCTATGGTGGTGAGGGAGGGAGGAAAGGAGGGGGAGGGATGGAAGCGGGCAGGGAGGGAAGCGAGTGGAAGGCAGAGGAAAAGAGTGGAGATTAGAAAAAATTGCGTCGAAATATGTGTTATCTTATCTGCACACACACATGCACGCACACCCTCCTCCCCAACTCACCCGAGCACAGAGGTCAAGCTCCCGCTCTTCCATGGGAGCCCCGCGGCTGTTGATACGGAGGAAGTTGAGCAGCACCTCATACGCCCACGCGTGCTGCTTCCTCATCTCCTCACTCCTCAGCACCGCCGCTACAAACTCAGAGACATAAGAGCTCTTCTGCTGCTGCTGTTGCTGCTGCTGCTCGTGCTGCGCGGCGGATCGCGGGGTGAGAGCGCGTGGCGTGCACCCCCCGTTGCCAGGTGTCAGCGCACCATTCGTCCCACCGCCCCAGTTGCTGCCGCCGCCCCAGTTGCTGCCGCCGCCCCACCCGAAACCGTTACCGTTGTTATTGCGGTTACCGCCACCGCCACCACCGCTGTAGATGCTGGCAGTGCTGGTCAGAGCTGCAGCAATAGCACCCGCAAAACCACCACCACCACTAGCTGCAGCAGCACCAGCAGCAGAAGCGGAAGCGCTACGGGCACCAACACTGCTGACAGAAATTTCGCTGCCCGGACCAAGCCCTCCTTCCTGCGACAAAACATCGTCCTCCACTCCGCCAGCCCCGCCCCTGCTGCCCGTGAAACTGCCCATGAAAAAATCCCACCTCTTACTGTTACTCCCACTCCCCCCGCCTGCACTCCCAACCGCAGCAACATTCCCCGCATCCGCAGCGGCACCTTCCCGGCAGCTTCCAGCGATGCTCCTGGTATCCGACTTACTGTCCGCCCCTGCTTTCTCCCCATCCATCCCCCCACGGCTTTGCATGGCAGAACCCCAGGCAGAGGCGGCAGCAAGAGCAGCAGACGCCCACTTGGGAGTGTTGGAGCTAAGGAGAGAGACAGAGGAGACGGCAGCTGGGTTGGGACTGTGGGAAGAGGTAGATTTAGGGCTGCTTTGCTGCTGCTGCTCCTGCTGGTACTGGTGATCCTGCCCCTGTTGCTGCTGCTGCTGCTGCTGCTGGCCGTGGCTGTGGTTCTGGCTGTGGCGGTGGCTGTAGCGGTGCTGATGGTGGTCACTGGTGATGCTTCTAGGGCTGGAAACCACACTCGACGGGCCTCCGGGGGTCCTAGGACTGGCCTGAGGTCCGGCGGCGCCGCTGTTGCCGCAGCTGGAGGTTTGGTACCCGCCGAGGCTGCCGGCAGGTCCGGCGCCGAAGCTAGAAGCGCCTGTGCTGACATAGCTGGTGCTTGGCCGCTGTTTCTGTGACCCGAAGAGAGAGAGGACCCCTCCCAACGCCCCTCCTCCATTAGCCTTGCCACTGGCAGGACCAGCCTCTTTAGCAGAAGCAGAAACACCAGCTCTCCCCCATGATGTTGCTGCTCTCTCTGACGTGCCTACTACAGACACGCTACCGGTCGCACTGCCGCCCGCACTGCCGCCCGCGGTGCCGCCCGCGCTGCCGCCCAGTCCGAGCATCCCCGCCCCCGCAGCTCCTCCGGGCGGCGCACCAGCCGCCCCGGTCCCGCCAGCCATAAACCTCACCGATTTCACCGCAGCTGTCAGCTTAGCGAACCTCATCGCCACAGATTGCACCCCTCGCCCCACAAACACCATCCTCACAACCGTATCAAACCCCTCCGCACCCAGCCTCCCACTCGCCACCGCCCGCAACCCCGCGTGAAACGCCGCCTCCTCCACCCCCATGCCTTCCACCGCCAAAGCTACAGCCATGGTATCGTCCGGGTGCAGGTTCGGCAGGTCCCGCATGGCTGCCGACAGCGTCATAGCCAGCAGGCCCGGGCCGAGGCTGAGCTGCAGGTACAGCCGATCCTGCTCCTCGCACCGCTCCTCCAGGCTCGAGTGCTTGGCAGCGGCTAGGCCTTCAGCTAGAGCGACTTCGGAGAGAGAGGCGAGGGACATGGGGGACCAGGCCGTGCGGAAGGAAGGGCCGGGGACGGAGGGGGATGGGGCTGAGAAGCTGGGAAGCCGGCCACGACGCTTCTTCGGCTGCTTCCGAAGGCTGCCTCCGGTGCTGCTGCTGCTACCCGCAAGAGCAGAGGCAGAGGCAGAAGCAGAAGCGCGAGCAGGAGTGAGAGTGATCTCCTCCCCATCATCCCTTTCCTCTAGTACTACCTCTAGCACTTCCCCACCCTCCCCGCCCCCTTCCCCATCGCACCCACTCGCCTCCTGCCACATCAGCAGCCGCTGCACCGCTGGCGTCGCCGCCGCCATGGCTGTCGCCGCCCGGTCCTCACAAGAGGACAAAATCGCCAGCAGGCACGACACGACAAACGAGCGGCACGCGGGCAGGTTCGCGCCTGCCCGCTTGCCGCCCAGAAGGACAGAAACATTCTGGGGGGAGGCTGCACCTGGGGCCAGGTGGCTACCGGCGCTGCTGATGCTGATGCTAATACTGGTGGTAATATTGCTGGTATCACCAGAACCCGCACCAGCACCTGCAGCAGCACCACCAGCAGCATGGATAGGGGTGGTCCACGGACGCATGCCATACGTGGGGGAGGAAGGCGTGCTACTCAGAGGCGTGCTCCTGAACGCACCCATACCCCCCCCTCTCGTTGGCGTGCTCCCTCCCGCTCTCGTCGGAGTAACCACACCGCTTCCTCTGCTGGGAATAAGTCCACCCCCCCCTCCCCGCTGCTGTTGCTGCTGCTGCTCCAGGAGCCGTTCAAAGAAAGCAATGCGTTCGAGCACGCGGAGGAGAATCACAGCGGCCGTGGCGGGGCGCCAGGCGCTGATGGCTGCAGCCACGCCCACGAACAGGAGAATGTCGTCGTGCTGGCACCGCGCTGACAGGAACCGGTCGTTCTCCCCTGCCAATGCGTCTTTTACCAGCCGAGTCATGATCGATACTGCTGATCCCCCTCCTGCTCCTCCTCCTCCTCCTCCTCCTCCTCCTCCTCCTCCTCCTCCTCCTCCCCTTCCTGCTTCTGCTACTGCTCCTCCTACCGCCCCTCCTGCTGCTGCTCCTCCCGCGCCTGCCCTGCCCCCGTCCGCCTGGCCAGCATCGTCGAACTCAGGAGGTGGCCGCCAGCGCTGCTTGCGGTGTGGGGTGATGATTAGGGTTGGGGGGGAGGAGAGATCAGAAGCATGCAACCCTTCTACCCCCCCTGCTGATACGGTTACCCTTGCTGCCGCTGCTGCCCCTGTCCCTGCTGCTGCTACCCCTGCTCCTGCTGCTACTCCTGCCCCTGGCGCTGCTGCAGCTGGAGAGCTAGTAGACCCTTGCTGACCCGCTCCACGGCCCAGGCCCGAGGGTACATTCGCCGTGTATGGACGGTGCGATCTGAGCGGTTGATGCTGCTGCCTATCAGAAACCGATGGCCGGGATTGCTCGCTGGTGAACGGCCGCTCTGCTCCTGATGAAGCCAGTGCCCTCTCCTCCCTATGTGGCACCCTGTCGTCTCTTGCCCTCTCGTCTCTTGCCCTCTCGTCTCTCACCCTCTCGTCTCTCACCCTCTCGTCTCTCACCCTCTCGTCTCTCACCCTCCTGCTGCTACCACCCCTCTCTTCCCTCTCGAATCGACTGCTCGAAGCCCTCTCCCTCCTCTCAGCTGACCCGTCTCTCTCTCCTCTCTCTCCTCTCTCCTCTCCCTCCTCTTGCTCCCCCTCCGCCCGTGCTTCACCAGACTCACTGCCCTCTGAGAGAGCAGCAGCAGCAGCAGCAATAGCAGAGGAGGTAATACTGTGCCACTGCCCCGCTGCGACTCGCGACCCCTTGTGCTTCCCTGGCGAGTCAATCACTTCGCCCTGAGACACCGCTGCTCCCCCCACAAACAGCTCCGCGCCCCCTGCTCCCCTCCCGCCTCTCCCCCCTCTTCCCCCTCCACCTGCCCCTCCCCCGCCCCTGTCCCCCGCCCCCTCTCCCCCCTCCATCCCCCCACCCATCCCATCCCCGTCCTCTTGAACCCCTGCCACTGCAGCAGCAGCAGCAGCGAGATCTGCGTTCCACCCACATGGGGAGAGGAGGGAACTGCCACTGCACCTGCTGTTACCACTGTCACTCCTCTGCCACACATCCGCCTGCCCATATCCCCTCCAAGCCACTGCACTCTCTCCTACCCCTGCTCCTGCTCCTGCTCCTGTTCCCACTCCTGTGCCGCCCCGTCTCCCCTCTCTTCCTGTCGCTACACCCCCACCCACCCCCCCGCCTGCTCCTCCCCCCTCCGCTCCTCCTTCCCCTTCGGGCGACGAGTCGCCATTTTCAGCTGCCCAGGACGGCCGGCCGCCGCCCCATTGGTCCCAGAACTTCAGCCAGACGGCCAGGGCAGCCGTGAAAACTTCGCCGGTGCGAACCGCGGGCAGGTGGTCAGAAGTCTCGGAAGTTGCCTGGAACTTGCGGCAGATCCACTCAAACTCACGGTGGGAGGCCGAAACAGAAGACCAGGCTCGGCCGAGCCTCCCCGACCGACCCTTCATCCAAGAATGCACTGCTCCCGATGCTGCTCCTGCCCCTGCTGCTGTTCCTGCTGCTGATGCTGCTCCGCTTGCCCTTCGCCCTCCTGCTGTACCCCCCATTCCTTCCAACCCCCCCGCCAGAGAATCACGGTCTACGTCCCAGGGACCTGCCCCCACAGTAGCAGGGCGAGCTACAGTCAACCCTGCACCAGCCTTCCTCGTTGTTCTACCCACTCTTCCTCCCCAACCTCCTCCTCTCCCACCTCCTCCTCCTCCTCCTTCGCTAACAACAGACCCCTCACCCGTTCCCCACCTTTCCTCCATCTCCTCCTCCTCCTCCTCCTCCTCTCTCTCCCTCCCTTCTCCACTCCTCCTCCGTCGCCCCACCTCCTCCACTCCCTCAGCCCCTTCCCCTGCCAGAGCACCCATCAGAACATCCATATACTGAGAAAACAGCAGAGACCAGTGCATCCGAGCCTCCTCGGCTCGGCACCGAGCCTGCGCGATAGGTCCGAACTCCCTGTAGGGGCAGGGAGCATTGGGGCCATCAAGGGTGGAGTGTGGTGCGGAGGGTGGGAAGGGGGACTGGGATTGGGGAGAGGGGGGGTCATTAAGAAGGATACTGAGATTGAGACTCGGCCGAATGGCAGATGCTGGTGCGGGTCCTGCTGGGCCTCTTGCTGCTGCTCCTCCTGCTGCTCCTCCTGCTGCTGGTGCTGCTGCTGCTGTTTCTGCAGTTTCGCCCACTTGTGATGAACCCACGCTTGCACCTCCCCCTCCTCCACCCTCTCTTCTCCCCTCTTCCCTTCCCTCCTCTTCTCCCTCCTCTCTCCTATCCTCCTCCTCCTCTCTCTCCAAAGCAGCAGACGCCATATCTTCATCAATATCGCTCAGATTCAACCGGCCAACGGGAATGCGTGAAAAGGAGAGTTCCATGGAGCTGCCTCCACCGCCCACATCTCTCCCACCCCAAGCAAACTTCTTGCCCAGCCCAACCTTCCGGTCCTCCCTGCCCGAACCAATCTCCTTGCTTGAATGCTCCTCGCGTCTCAAACTCCGCCCCTCCTTGCCAGCCCCTCTGCTCTCGTTCCCTCTCCTCCCGCTCCCTCTCTCCTCCTCCTCTTCTTCCACCTCCTCCCGCCCTTCCACCTCCTTCTCCTCCCCATCTTCCTCCTCTTTCCACCTGCCACCCGCCCCCTCACCACCGCTCAGCATGACTTCGAAGCTCAGGTCTGCCTCTACTCCCTTCCGCCCTCTGGAAAGCGCCTGTGGCGGAAGCACGTGCAGGCTGCGCGCAGGCGCACTGGTGGTCCGCGCCACTCCGCCCAACTTGCCCCGCATGCTGCTGGGAGGGACAAACTGCATGTCAGCACCCCCGCCCTCTCCCCTCCTCTCCTCACCATCCTCTCCCTGCCCCTCTCCCTGCTTCTGAGCTCGATTCTGCCCCTCCCTCAGCGCCTCTCCCTGTCCATGGCCTCGGTTCAGCCCTTCTCTCTGCCCGTCTCTCTGCGCCTCTTTCCCTCGCCCGTGCTTGCTCCTCCGCATCGGCGATTTCAGCCTCGCGGGCAGCAACAGCGGAATCACCGGCTGGTGCTCAAACTGCACGCCACACGACGGCGACCGCAGCAGAGGCGACTGCAGCGGGGAGGACGAAGACGCACACGGGAAGGGGCTATAAAGCCCTGAGGAGGAGTCAAGCGAGGAGGAGAGGTGTTCCACCCGCATGGGGGCAGGGGAGCGAGCCCGCTGGACTATCGTCAAATGCCCCTCCTCCTCCTCCTCCTCCCCCTCTCCATCTCTCCACGCCCCCGTCCCCACCCCTCCGCTTCTCTCTGCCTCTTCAAGTTCCACCCTGCCCTCCCACTCGCCCATGTTGGCCCAGGGGTCTCTAGCCTCTCTAGCCTCTAAACCCCCCGCATTGGTATCAGCGCCACTGGTGCCATCATCCTCTGTCCCTTCCTGGCCCTGGTCCGGGTTGCTACCAAACGACCGACGCCGCTGCTGCTGCCTCTGCTGCTGCTGGTCTCTCTTCTTCCGCACAAGCGGGCTGTCTAGTCCGGACCTTCCCACTCCCAATGCCCCCAAGCCTCCGCCCGAGCCTCCCCCCGAACCAGCCCCAAGAGCTTCCAGAGCAGCGCGGCTAACAGGAGAGGCGGAGGAGGTTCTGGAGAGGTCCCGAAACAGAGGAGATTGAGCGGAATTCGCTCCTCCTATGCCTCTGCTGCCACCAATCACAGCACCACCACCACCTGAGACTGAACCCGCAGCAGCTATGGCACCTGCAGCAGCAGTAGGACCCGCAGCAGCAATGGCTCCTGCAGCAGCAGCAGCAGCAGAAGGGGCAGAACCCAGAGAGCCCGCACGCACAGGGCTGCAGTAAGCATCACTGCCACTGGAATCATCCTCTGCCACAGACGACCCAAACGACCCGAATCTCCGCCTCCTGCGCTCCCCCCCCTCCTCCTGCGCGCGGCTGGGCGGTCGCGGGGGCACCTGGGGGAAGTTCTTGGGGAGGGACGCGCGGAAGGAGGCGGAGGCGGAGAGGTGAGAGAGGGAGTGGGGTTGCTGGGGCGAGAGGGTGGAGGGGAGCTGGTGCAGATGCTGCAGTCGGTGGTGCTGGTGCTGGTGGTGCTGCTGGTGGTGGTGGTGATGCTGATGATGGAGTGAGGAGGGGGATAAAGCAGTTTCACTAGCAACAGCAGCAGCAGCAGCCACAGCAGCAGCGGCAGCACTAGAACGACCGCCAGTACCAGCAGAAAGAGTGCGAGAACCAGCAGCAGAGGAGAAGAGAGCCAGAGCAGCACTATCAGCCCCGTGACTAGCCGAACGCACGTGACTCCTGGGCGGAATACTAAAACTGCCTAGAACACCCGCCACATGGTGTGGTGCGCGAGGGGGGGTCCCACTACCCTCCACCCGCCCAGCTCCCGCTGACCCAGCCCCTCTGTCCCCCCACACCCCCGCCCTCACCCCTCCTCCGCCCCCCAGCGCAGCGGCTCTTCTGGCAGCAGCGGCGGCAGCGGCGGCCTCTCGGACTCGCAGCCACTGGTCCTCGTCCCGACTGCCCCCTATCCGCCCGTCACACGTGCTCGATCGCTCTATTGGCTCTGGGCTCTCCCATCCCTCCTCATCTTCCTCCTCCTCCTCCACCACCTCCCGCTCCTCCTCCTTCTCCTTCTCCTTCGCGCCCTCCCTCTCCTCCTCAGTTTCCAGCTCCTTCTCCCCGTCTCTCATGCCCTCACCCGTACCACCCACCAGACCAGCAGGTTCGGCATCAGTGCCCATTCGCCCAATCCGAGCTTCCATGACGCCGCCCACGCCACCACCGTTTGAATCACTCTCCATACTGTCACCCGCACCCCGGACTGCTACAGCCGTCCCCCGACCTGCCGCCCTGGCAATCGAATCCGCTTCTCCCGCCCCGAACCCCTCTTCTTCCCCACCCCCCTTCCTCAGTAACTCTTCCCCCCGTGGCCCTTCCGCCCGTGGCCCTTCCGCCCGTGGCCCTTCCGCCCGCGCCCCTTCCCCCCGTGCAGCCGCCTTCCGCTGCTCCTTGATCTGCCGGCGCTTCTCCAGAATCGCCTGGATGACCGTCTTCGTCTCGCCCACTCCCTGCCCGCTCCCCTGCGCTTCTTCACTCAACGCTATCGACTCCTCACTTGAGTCGCTCCCCCTCTCCCGCCCCCGCTCCTCCGCCCTCTCCGCCCTCTCCGCCCTCTCCGCCCTCTCCGCTCTCTCCGCCCTCTCCGCTCTTTCCGCTCGCTCTGCTCTGCCCAGCCTACCCTCGCAGTCTGCCTCACCTTCCGCCATTCCCCTTTCCGCATCCCCTTCCGTCTCCCTCTCCCCCTTCCGCCCTCCCCCTGCCCCAACGCCCCCTTCCCCGCCACTGCTCCGCAGCGCCTTCCGCTCTTCCCGCCGCAGCTGCAGGCTGTGCAGACGGTTTACGCGCTCGCGAATCTCCTCTCCTTTTATCGCGTCAGCCATTGACGGGGACAGGGGCGGAAACAGACAGCCTTTCAAAGACCCCCCCCGGGCCTTAAGCCGCTGCGCCAGCTCCCCTTTCCCATACGCCCGCGCCAGCTCTTCTCTCTCCCATTCCCCATCTACTCCGGTTACTCCCCCCATTGCTCCCCCTTCGCCCCCGCGCTCCCCCTCCCCGTTCGCCCCGTTCCGCCCGTGGGGGAGCTTCAGCGACAGCCCGAGCCTGCGGCTGAGCGCCCGCTTCGGCGAGGAGGCGTTGGTTCGGATCCGAGGCAGGGCAGGCACGGGGAGAACCTCGTGCATATCCTCTCCTCCCTCTGAGACCTGTAACGAATCAGACGAGCTATCCTCGTTACAGCCCTCCGGTTGCTTGCCGCTGCTGCTGTTGGCGTTGGCGTGGCTAATGCTGATGCTGTTGCTGCTGCTGCTGCTGCCGTAACCGCTGCTCTTGTTCCGCGTGGTGAGGCTGCTACTAGATCGCCTCATCATGCCCCCTCCACTCTGACCCAACCCGCCCCCGCCGCTTCTGCTACTCTCGCCGCTGCTCTCCTTGTTGCCGCTACCCACCTTCCCGCCACCGCCGCCGCCGCCGCCGCCGCCGCTGCTGCTGCTGCGAGAAGCGATGCTACTGCTGCGGGAGAACACGCCCCTGATCCCCCCCAGGCCCCCTTCCCCCCGTGCCTTCGCCTGCCGTTTCTTCTCCGCCGCGATGGCGGCCGCGCGCGACGGCGGGGGGAAGAAGTCCGCCTGGCGGTTGGAGCCGGCGGAAGAGAACGACTCAGACATGGCCTTTCTCTCCGGGAATTGCGGCTTCTCGGGAGTTTTCGGGCGCGCGTGGCGGAACATGCTGGGTCTGCGCGCGGGCTCCGGCTCCGTGCTTCCGCGGTGGTCCGGAGACGCGGAATGCGGGAGGTTCTTCTTGCTTCCGCTTCCGCCGCTGCTGGGACCATGACTGCTGCCGCTGCTGCGGTGGATATTTCTCTCCTCCTCCTCGAAGCTCCTCCTTCTTTCGCTCACATACCCGAACGACGCGGAGTAAAACGGCCGCCGATGCGGAACCTCAGGGCCGGCATCCGAGCCTGCTGAAACTTGGCCCTTCCGAGGCTCTGGAACGGGCTCGTCCGGACCTCCGTCGTCCCTCCCATTGGTGCTGTGCCGCCTCCGGAGGCTCGGCATGCGCCACGTCCGGCCTTTCTTATCCTCCTTAAAAGACCCTCCGTCACCGTCATCGCCTTGCTTCACCAACGCTCTCCGTCTCCTGCCAGCGGGACTCTGAACCGCATTCGAGCTCGCGCTTTCACTCTCCTCCACCCCTCGTAAATGACGGTTTTCTGCTTCTAAATCTGCCGGATAAGGACCGCCGGACCCGCCGTGAGAGTCGGTGGTAGATAGACTACTCTCCGAAGGAAGGAAACTATGGCTAATGACGTCATTAGGCGAATTAGTCTCTTTCGACCCTCCATACGAAGACTCTTCCTCATAGGCCTTTATCGCCGTCCTGCCGTAACTCGTGGAAGCCTTTACACCCGACGCACGACTCCTGGCTTCAACCCGTGCCGCTGTAACCCGCGCTTCGAAGTTAATCTCCTCGCACGGGTCGGTTCTAGACTGCGGGATGTACTTCGGATGCGCCGCGGGTCCCACAGTTGAGTTAGGGTTCGCGGTACGAGGCCTGCTGGAGTCACCCTGCTGATTCTGCTGCGTGTTCCACGTCACAGACCTAGGGACTGCCGAGCGTGGGACTAAAACTGTCTCATGGTAGGTATTTGACGAAGCCACGTGGCCGATTTTGACAGGCCCGCCGGAGTTTGTTCTGTCGAGCTCAGTATTGGATGGCATTGTCGATTTTTTCCTCGGGGCATCGCGACGCGACGCCTCGTGCTGCGATGCTAGCTGGTGTCGGGATGTCTGGTGTGGCAATGGAGACCCTTGGTGCTGTGCGTGGAGGAATGACGGCGATGGGAGCTCAAACGGTAACACCGATGTCCCGCTATTCTTCGCCATCGCTTGTGCTTGCGATTACAAAACTCATGGGGAAAAAAAAGCTACGAAAACCTAACCTAGCATTGTCTAACTGCTTTAAGAACTATCCATTCCCAAGGTCCTGCAAAACATCAGCAGCACGAAACAGTTTCCTGGTTTGGTCGGTTTGGAAATTGGCTCGAGTTTCGAAAGCACTGTTCTGTTCCGTACGTACACACACACACTCACCTGGTGCTGGTTGGTTCGGTTCGGTCTGCCTGCTCAGCAGCACGCACACACAACAGTCCTGGCTTTTAAGGGGGAGGCTCCGCGGGAACGCGCAAGACTGCTCTGCCAGTGCCGAGCGCATGGCGTGGGAGGGAGGGAAGGGGGGAGCCCAGCTGTGGTGTACCTCGCCTCGACCCTCGGTGGTTTCGAAGGGGAACGGGGATGGGGGAAATTGTTGCGGGGGAAGGGGGCAAAAAGACATCGAGATTTGCTGCGTTGGCGGAACGGTTGGGGAGGAGGAGATACTGAAACGAAAGGGCAAGGAGGCTCAGGAAACGAGGTTCGGTCGGGTCGCAGAAGAACTTAGGTGCGCAATTTGTTGTGAGCTGCGCGGGAAAGCACCACCAGGTGAAACAAGACCAGGCAGGGAACGAAACCTTTCCGCGACCAGGAGCACAAGCGCATGCTTGCGCCAGCTAAATTTTGTGAAGGGGGTGTTCAGTTCTCGCAAAAACATGTCCGCCTGCATGCCAGCTCATGGGAATGCAGTTACACGAGTAGGACAAGCGACTGACACGAACTACAGTTCCTTAGGCTAGGCTCGGCTCGGGTGTGGTTTGGGGAATCGGTGAGGTGCATCCCCATCTTTACGAGCATTCTTCATGTATCGACGGTCGACAGAGCAGTCCTTGGGTTTGACGAGCCAATCTCCCTTATTTTGTGTATGGAGGGAATCGCCTTCGAAGGCTTGGAGAGTGCCCTTCTGTTCAATACCTCTTCAGAATCCTGGGCGATGTTCGGCAGCCGCGGAGGGTCGACGGGAGGGCATGGGACGGAGAATGAAAACGCCGGGCCTCCAGGTTCTACTTTGACGAACCTGGCAAAATACCTCGGTCAGACAAAAAAAAAATGAAAAGTTGTCGAAGGTTCTCCACCCAGAGTGGGTTGTGCTGGAACTGGATGTCGCCAACGCCTTCAACTCCTTTAGCCGTTCTGCGATGTTCAACGCCCTGCGAGACTCCCCGTTCTCCAGCCTCATCCCTTTCGTCCGCCTCTTCTATGCCTCCCCCTCTTCTCTCTATTACCGCACCAGCCCATTAATCGAGACACTACAGTCATCATCGGGTGTTCGACAGGGTGATCCATGTGGGCCATTCTTGTTCGCCCTCACCCAGCACCTAGCCATTCGCCCCATCCAGCGTCAATCTCCAGCTCTTTTCATCACCTCCTACGCGGACGACACGTATATGGTCGGCCCTGCGCATGACGTGTTTCCTGCCTACACATCGCTTAGAGCTCGTCTCAATGACTTGGGCATGAGGGTGCAACCATCCAAATGCTCCCTCTGGGCCCCTTTGGACCTCCCTTCGGACCTCACACCTCCATCAGGCATCGTCATTGCCCCTAACAGTCTCTCGGTTGCAGGAGTGCCTATCGGATCGGACACCCACATTATCTCTACAGTTCGAGACAAACTGCACTCTTTCTCTTCATCACTGCCTCTCCTACATGACCTTCATGATCCACAGACTGCCTCTCGTCTCCTTACTCTCTGCATTTCCGCCTGTCCCTCATTCCTCATCCGCACAGTTGCACCATTCCCCGAGGTAGAAGAGATTTACACTGACTGGGACAACACCTTGCTGGACCACTTTGTTCGCCTCATCGGCTCTGACTACTGGCCCCTTGCTTTTGACCACACTACCACAGCACACCGACAGCCATTCCTTCCCATTCGCCTTGGTGGGTTCGGCCTCCGTTCTTCAGCTGCAACTGGTTCTCTCAGTTACCTGTGCAGCTGGGCACAGACAGTTTCACTCCTCTCGTCATGCTTCACCATTCACGGCTCCCCTATTTTCCATCCCTTCATCACTTAAGACACCATGGACCGCCTTGACCCATGCATTCCCACAGTCATGTCCAAACTTCATCCTACCATTCGGCAGCACTTCAATACCTGGCCCGCACTTCACGCTGGCTATCCACATAAGCTATATTCCTACATTTCACAGCACTTGGAGGCTGTCATGCTCGAGCGCGTGCGATCCACAGTAACCTCTCCCCAACATTTGGCCCGTTTAAACTCCTTATAAGGGCCCCATGCTGGCGATTCGCTCACTGTGGCTCCATGTTCTTCGCATATGCACCTGTCACCTACGGAGTGGTGTATTGCAGCCACTATTCGTCTTGGCCTCCCCATTCCACACCTCACGACCACCCGCACATGCACCTGTGGCTCGGCATTCACAGACCCTTCAGTCGTCTCTCATGTCCTCCGCTGCCCATCCTCTAATGAGCCTACCAGGGTCCACGATGCCATCAAGCATGAGGTTCATCCTATCACGTCCGAGCTTGGTTACGTTGTGCAGCTGGAGGACTCCCACATTCTCTTAGGTCGCCGCCCAGACATCAGCTACTGTGACATTAGCTCTGGGACTACGTGGGCATTAGATGTTTCTGTTGCAGACCCCCAGCATGGTTCCCCATGTCAAACTTATATAGTGCTTACATTGTGTAGGCTGTAGTGGGGTAGCCCATAAGGGGTACAACCAAATTAGGGTTAGTACTTGTACTCAACCTTCTGTTCAATCCAATCATTCTCGTTCATTATTCTGATATGGTTTCAGATCAGGTCCGTTCTAGGACCAATTTTTGTAGAGCGCTGCCCCACTAGCTGCCCTACCCTAACTGCCGCGCCGCCCTGCTGGCCGCTGTGCCGCCCTTAACTGCCCACGCGCCGCCCTTTGGAGGACTCCCACCTTCTCTCAGGTCGCCGCCCAGACATCAGCTGCTGTCACATCAGCTCTGGGACTATGTGGGCATTATATATTTCTGTTGCAGACCCCCAGCATGGTCTCCCACGTCAAACTTATATAGTGCTTACATTGTGTAGGCTGTAGTGGGGTAGCCCATAAGGGGTACAACCAAATTATGGTTAGTACTTGTACCCAACTTTCTGTTCAATCCAATCATTCTCGTTCAGTATTCTGATATGGTTTCAGATCAGGTCCATCCTAGGACCGACTTTTTTAGGGCCCACCACAGAGCGCTGCCCCACCTTCGATCATGAGGGCCGTCCGATCCAGTTCGATACGTGGCTCGACGACTTACAGCTGTACCTACTGAGCGATTCTTGAGACACCGTTTCGTTGTTTGACCACACGTCTGGAGCCTCTCTCACCCCTCCCGCCACAGCTGACAGTGCGACTCGCTCATAGTGGCTTACCCATGATGCTGCTGCTCACTTCGCCGTTCGCAACCACCTACCGTTAGCCGAACGCGCTCACTTTGGCCGGCACAAAACTGCTAAAGCCATGTACGACTCTGTAGTCGCTCGTTACTCTTCCCCTGCCACTGCTGCTCTAGGCCGCCTTATACTGCCCTACCTGTTTCCCGAGCTGTCCGCCTTTGCCACAGTCGAGGACCTCGTTACCCACATCCGCACTAGCGACGCTCGCTACCGCGCTGCCCTCCCAGCAGAGTTCCTTGACAGGAACCCGCCCCCGATGTACATCACTCTCTACTTCATAGTCACCCGCCTCCCTGACTCTCTTCGCGCTGTCAGGGACCACTTTCTCGCACTTGACCCCACATAACTCACTGTCGACCTGCTCGAGGAGCACCTCCCTGCAGCTGAGACTAGCGTAGTCGCTGTAGGTGCTGCTCGTGGCACTCCTCGCACACCCTTCTTTGAGGGGTGTTCCCCCTCCCCCCTTGCCCCCTCCTACGCTTCTGCGGCTGCTGTTGACATCATTGGCGCTGAGGATGTCGGGGTTCCTTCTGCTCTTAGTGGGAAGCGTCGCAGCAGCAAGGGCGAGGGTGGCACGAGTGGTGGCGGTGGCAGCGGGGGTGGTGGTGGTGGAGGCAGTGGAGGCGGTGGAGGTGGCGGAGGTGGTGGCAGCGGTGGGAGTGGTGGCGGGAGTGGGGGCTTCGGTGGCGGCGCTGGCGGCAGCGGTGGGGGTGGGGGTGGCGGTGGTGGCGGCAGTGGGAGTGGTAGCGGCGGCAGTGGTGGCGGTCGGGGTGGAGCTGTTCAGAGGGGAGGTTCTGGCGGTGGCCAGAGGCAGTAGCAGCAGCGTATGCGGAGATAACTCTATCAACGGGAGCTAGACTACGGGCTAGGCACGGGGTAGGAGGGATCTCTGCATTCGTTCACTTGGTCGTTCTCTAGCACTTGGTCGTTCTCTAGCACTTGTGCGTTCACATGGCAAAACCTCCAGAGTTTCACTAGCAAAAGTTGATAACAGTGGTAGCAACTAGATTGGCAAGGTAGACTACATCAGAACCCTAGCATACAAGTCGACTAGCAGCTGGTCGACCTCAGGCGTCCTCAGTCGACCTGCAAGGTTGGCGTGCCAGCACACCAACAACAGGCCACCACAGGTCACCACAACAGGCCACCACAGGCCACCACAGGTCACCACGTGCTCATGTGCGCGCACCAACAACAGGCCACCACAGGTCACCACGTGCTCATGTGCGCGCACCTACTTCGCAGGTGCAAGGTGACGGTAACGACATGTACCGTCACGCACATTGCACAGGTGCCAAGTCGACCACATGTCGACGGTTGCACCTGAGGAGTCATGTCGACCACGTGCCACCGAACCGCAGGTTGACATTGCCAATCTACTTGGGCGACAGTCGCGAACCTCGCAGACCTCGTCGTCCGGAAAACCCGGTCAACCAGGCAACCATGTCGACCAGGTGTGTCATCCTAGGCCCGTCGACCGCCCAGGTCGACGACCACCTCATGTTGACCACACCAGGTCGACCACTCCCCTTGTCGACCAACTCCTGGTCGACAACCCACCTGGTCGACCAACTCCAGGTCGACCAGTACACCTGTCAGCCGACAACACCCAGTCGGCTTCCCCTGGTCGGCGTCACCCAAGTCGACGACCTCCACCGGTCGACCTCCCAAGTCGACCAGCCAAAGTTGGAGCCCTCCCAAAGTCGGCGCCCTTGCAGTGGCCCTTATGTAGGTCGACCAGGCCCGTCGACCAGCTCGCCCACTGTTGCAGGTCGGCTGCACTCCTCACACCCGACCCCGAGGTCGGTTCCGCCCAAGCAAGGACAGGGCCAACAACAACTCCCGTTGACAGCGTCGGAGCGAGACTCCTTCGCCCCAGCAGCTTCATGAGTGGTTTGCTTAGCGTGGGGCGTCTGGGGGTAGTGTTCGCTGCCCGTATGTCATTCGCACGGGTGACTGTGCTGGTCAGACATGCGGGAAGTTTCACTCTCAGCACCGTTACTTCTTCCGCCTAGACGACGCTTGGCGCGCAGAGTTTGGTGACGAGGCTGAGCGCCCCCGCTGGACAGAGCTGCTTAGGTCTGGAGTTGATATCTTTGCTCTTGACTATGATGCTATCCTTGCTGCCATGTATGCCTTGTCTGTTAGTGCTGAGGGTGACTGTTACCGATGTGTGCCGCCCGACCCAGGTATAGAGGCTGCTGCTCTAGGTGCTAGCGAGTCTGCTCTCCCTGAAACTGCGCCTGCTGAGGCCTTGCACACCTTCACACTTGATTAGGTGCTTCCTGCTGTTTCTTTCGCGACAGTACCACCCTCACTCCTCTCTCTGTACCTGTACCGGTCAGACTGGCTGACCCCTCAGGGGGCCCAGTTCTTGCCCGTTCCTCCACTGTTCTCCCGTGTCCGGCGGTTCCGTCCGGCTCACTCTCAGGTCTTCACCTCTCCTCGTTCTCTACGAACTTGGTGAGTACCGCTGCCCTCCAGGATGCGATGGTCACTACCACCACTACTGGGGGTCAGCGTGTGTCGATCTGCACGTGTACATACCACCACTACTGGGGGTCAGCGTGTGTCGATCTGCACGTGTACACGGACGGGCCGTCACCTGGCCACGTTCACCCGTCGGCCTGGGTCGAGTTTGTACACACTCGCTACCGAGCCTCCTCAAGTAGCCGCGTCTGCCCAAGTGTCCGCGTTAGGTCCGGTAGCACCCCCCTGCTCGTGTCGCCTCTTGTCGCAACAGACTCTCCTTTGGCACCACCGCCTTGGCCACCCCTCCCTGCCACGCCTTCGTGGCATGCACTCCCGCCTCCTTGTTTGTGATCTTCCCAGGTCTCTGCCTCCCCTCCCGCCCTCGCCTGCCCTGCCTTGCCTTCCTTGCGTCGAGGGGCGGCAACGCGCCGCTCGTCACTCCTCCTCGTTTCCCCCGACGACTGCTCCCCTGCAGACTCTCCACATGGACGTGTGGGGCCCAGCCCGTGTCAGTGGACAGGGCCGCGAGCGCTACTTCATGCTGGTTGTTGATGACTACACGCGTTACACCACGGTCATCCCCTTGCGCAGCAAGGGTGAGGTCCCTGATATCTTGATCCCTTGGATCCGTGCAGTCCGTCTCCAGCTCCGCGAGCGGTTCCGCGAGGACCTTCCTGTCCTGCGTCTACACTCTGACAGAGGTGGTGAGTTCTCCTCCGATCTCTTGCGGGAGTTTTGTCGTGGGAAGGGCATCCTCTAGTCGTTCACGCTTCTGGCCTCCCCGCAACAAAATGGGATTGCTGAGCGCCGCATTGGCTTAGTCATGGAGGTCGCTCGTACCTCCATGATCCATGCGGTTGCTCCCCATTTTCTGTGGCCGTTTGCGGTCCGGTATGCTGCGCATCAGCTCAACCTCTGGCCCCGTGTCTCCTTGCTGGAGACCTCGCCTACACTGCGTTGGACGGAGAAGGTTGGCGATGCGTTGGTGTTCCGGGTCTGGGGCTTTCGTGCCTTTGTTCGCGATACTTCCGCGGACAAGCTCTCCTCCCGCGCTATTCCCCGCGTCTTCCTTGACTTCCCCCCTAACGCGCCTGGCTGGCAGTTTTACCAGGGCGGTGCAAGCAGGGCAGCAGGGCGGCGCAGGTGTGCAAAAGGCGGCGCGCGGGCTGCAAGTGGCGGCGAGCGGGCTGCAAAAGGGCGGCAAGCGGGCTGCCAGAGGGCGGCGCGCGGGCAGCAAGGGGCGGCGAGCGGGCCGCAAACGGGCGGCGAGTGGGCTGCAGGGGCGGCGCGCGGGCTGCAGGGGCGGCTCGCGGGCTGCAGGGGTGGCGAGCGGGCTGCAGGGGCGGCGTGCGGGCTGCTAAAGGCGGCGCGCGGGCTCCAAAGGGCGGCGCGACAGGCTGCAAAGGGTGGCGCGCGGGCAGCTAAGGGCGGCACAGTGGCCAGCAGGGCGGTGCGACAGTTAGGGCAGGGCAGCTAGTGAGGCAGCGCTCTGTGGTGGGCCCTAAAAAAATCGGTCCTATAACGGACCTGCTCTGAAACCATATCAGATTACTGAACGAGAATGATTGGATTGAACAGAAAGTTGGGTACAAGTACTAACACTAATTTGGTTGCACCCCCTATGGGCTAGCCCACTACAGCCTACACAATGTAAGCACTTCATAAGTTTGACAACGAATACCCCATGAGCAGGGCCAAAAGTCCCATAACTTCTTCAGCAGCCAATTCTTCACATGTTACAGCAGCCAATTGTTTTGTAAGTCATAATCACAACAAAGGCAAGACATGCACTAAGCAATCAAGCTCACCACCCGAATGCAAGATACACCACATCAAGTGAGTGATACGGTACCGTAGTAGCAATCACATGCGAGGAATAGAACAGCACGAGCTTACAAGGCACGATAAATAATCAAGCAATTCCATGCGTATGGGCCAATGGGGCAAACTCAAATCAAGAGGAACTACAGTAAGAGCAGCAGTTGCAGACACTGGCTGTAAGAGCTTCAAACTTAGATGGACCCTCCACTCAGGTGCCAAGAGCAAAGGGGCGATGCGGTATTCCATAGCTGCAAGGAGGCACCTCGGAGCAATCTCAGGGCAGCACTAAGAGGAGAAGTTGCAGACGTTGCAGTTGATGGTGTCGTTTGCTGGCTCCCCGCAGGTGCCGGAGAGAGGTACGATGCGGTAGTTGCACTTCTCACTCAGCCTGCCGAAGCACGTGACCTGCTTCCACATGGCCGGGCGCGGGTTCAGATGGCAGCAGCCGTCGCACTCCAGGTCTGCACATGCCGACATTCGAGTGCGGAAAAAGGGACGGCGGGATCGGGAGGGGTGGGAAGGCGGGGTGGGGAGGGCGGGGGGAGGGAGGGGGGGAAGCGAGGAGGAAGGGGGGTGGGGGGGGGGGAGGAGGGGAGGAGGGAAAGGCGGGTTTGGGGCGAGTTTCCTTCTCTCTCTCATGGGTCGTGCCTGATGTGAGTAACGAGAAGCGCAACACACCTCAGGCAAGCACCGGACACGGGAGAAACGAGCAAAATAGCACACAATAGTCACGCATCAGGCACGTGGTAGCGAGGCAAGGTAAATCTATCTCGTTGGACAGTGCTACAGGAGGGAGTCGACTATGCCTCGCAAGTCCAGTTTCCGTTCACGGCATGGACATATAGTGACTGCAACGCGCATCCAGACGCCTCACCACGAAACAGAAATAGGGTAACATAAGTAACGTAACGCAAACACTAACCTTTTTGCACGATGTTGCACGAGGAGTCAACCATGTACTCGCAGTTTCCGTTCACGGCGTAGAATCCCAGAGGCGGCAGCGCAGCATCCATGGGACTCGGAAAGTCCTCCTGGAATCCGTTGAACCAGAACGGGGTGAAAGACACTTCGCCCGTATCCGCGTCCTCGTTATAAGTGCACAGCCAGAAGACGAACCAGCCGTTGTGAAGCGAGTACGGGGATGCGAGCGTATTGGCAGCAGGCAGAACGCCGCCGTAAGCGGTAGCGGCGGAGATGAGCGGGGAGTGGTGGAGGAGGAGCAGGAGCGAGAGGAGGAGAGGAGTCGCGAGTTTACTCAACCGAGGCGAAGACGGTCGACAGGACGGCACTAGCTGCGGTTGTGAGAAAGCCATTATGCTGACGTAAAAATGGTGGATAAGATTCTAAGAATTATGCGAACTGAGAGTTTCTAAGGATGAATTGGATTCAGTTACGAAGGGGGTAGCGAGTGCAGGGAATGATGGGAGTCTAGAACGAACACGTCGACTAACAGGCACAAGAAGTACCAAAGGAGAATGTTTCGCGGTTCAAACAAAAACTTCTAAGCCTGCACTACGCAAGACTATCGCGGCTCGGACGACTAACCGGCCTTCGACCAATAGTAGCTTGTGGACAACTAACCTCGAGGACGAATATTCGGTCTGTGGGTGGGATGGGAAAGTAGAATTCCTAGGGTTCGTTGGTTCCTGAGTTCCAAGCAACCAAGCTCCTTCCAACCCAGCACGAGTGTCTGGACTGGGGTCTGGCTGGACTCTGCACTGTCCTTTGACTCATTCCCCGGTGCCCTTGTCTGTGCGCCTTAGGGCGTGTAAAATCGGGAACTCAAAAAATTCGGCCACAATCCGTCGGGCCGTTTCTGTGAAGGTAACCAGCCAGCGATAGTCGTAAGTCTAGTGGCGACAGTCGCAAATTTCGCAAAAACAAAAACGAATTTGATGGCCGCTTAAAAAGTCGACACGAAAACGACGCCGAGTCGACACCAAAACGGCCAAGTAGTCGACACAGTGTGCGACAAACGCCTACGACGTCGAACGGTATCGCCGAACGACAGTTTTTTTTATATCGTCAAAATGAGAAATATCGCTGTTAAATGTGCGACCCCGTCGCACATACCCAACTACTGTAGTAACTCCAAATTTTACAACTTTTCCGAACCGGCCTGCAAATTGGCCACCAAAGTTGTAAAATCCGCAAACCTGCAAATGGTGGCTGAAATTTGGAAAACTCGAATTCGGCCACCAAGTCGACTTTCGCGAAAGAAATGTCGACCACATGGTCGACGAAAATTCGGCCAAACCCCGATTTCGCCCCTAAGCCCACTCTGCGTTGGTTCCGCACCATCTGAGGGAACTTCTGGCTGGTTCCGCCAAGGGCCCCGCGCATCAGCGGGGCTGTCTTGGGCGGGGTGGGTCACTGGGTTCGGGACAGGACTCGGGGTTGTGGGGGTTGCGGCGGAGTGGGGCGCAGCGCAGGTGGTGGCGAATTCGGGAGGAGGTGGCCCTGCAACCACACGCCAACTTTGTCGTTTAGCGCTCGATGGTCTCGAGGATAGAGGCGACACATTGTTGTCACACCGTACCCAACCTTTCCACAACGCACAATACAGGGCTCGATCGTCACTGATTTATATCTGTCCTGTTGGTTTTCTCCATTCAAATCAAAAGCACTCTAACCTCCTCCTTTTTAACTACTGGTGGGTACTTGGCACATCAGCGAATCTGATTTGAGGTGAAACATCTGAATTTCAACATCCATCACCTACACAGACTATATCATACCACATCGCCCACTACATAAGGCTCGATTTCGGCTTATGCCAGAGCTGGAACAACCAGGGCCTCAGCCTCCTTGCCGATAACAGGCTTGAAGAGAGCATCGTCTTCGTCCTTGGGCGTGTGAATGGTAACCTGCATTGTATACAGTGTAACAAATAAAAAAATCGTCATTTATCACATACCGTAGGATACTCCATGTTGTATGCACCTTCATTACAAAATGGGGAGATAACAGGTGTATAAGAGAGCAAACGTGCCACAGCACTCACCTGGTCGGGCAGAGGGCGGACAACACCGGCCTTGCCACTGGCGTCGTGAGGAAGCATGATTTTCACCTTGATGCCCAGCACTCCCTGGGGGAAGGGGGGTTGGGAAAAGAGGGGGGGGAAGTGGGGGATGTGGGAAGGTTGGGGAAAAGAGGAAATGCAGAAGGGGGGAAGAGAAGGGGAGCCCTGGGCTACCATGGACCCTAATGGCCGGCACTTTCTGGGAGAAAGGGGCCCTTAATGGCCAGCTCTCTCAGAGCGGGAGCAGCACCTGGGCGGGCTCACCTGGCAAAGCACCTGCGCGCGCGTGCTCACCTGGCGCAGCATGACGTGGCGCACGGCGGAGTCGATGTACTCGCGCACGGGCCCACCGGACGAGATCATGTACCCGTCCTTGAACTTCATCGCCTTGGCCCTCTGCGCGCGCAGCTTCCCGCTCACTATCACCTGTGGGGAAGGGGGGAAGTAGGGAGGGATGGAGCGCACGGGGGGGAGCGCGGCGCGGGGGGGGGGGTGGGGGGGGAGGGGGCGGGAAGGGGGAAGGGAGGCGGGGGAGGAAACACTTTAGCATTCTGCCTTTTAGGTCACGGAGAAAAACCTCGTATCAGTCCCGCCGCCTCTCTCCACTCCCGCCAACCTAGACTTTGCTCAATCTCTTCCAACACGCCCCTCGCTCCCCTTTCTGCAACCATCAACGCCCTTCGTCGTCACTCGCAGCCCCCAACTACGTAACACCTCTCGAAAACCGCTCAACCGCTACCAGCCCTTCGAGCACCTATCAGCACCACTCGCTTCCCACCTCGCAGCCCTTGGCATTGCTCTCCATGATGAAGCGCAGCACACCGTAGCACGCGCGGCGCACGGCGAGCCCACCGAGCAGCTTGTAGCGCAGCGACTCCGCCTGCGCGACGGCGCAGAGGCCCTTGTTGGCGACCTTCTCGGCGTAGAGCTCCACCGTGCCCTCCTTGAACTTGAACCGCTTCTGCACCACCGACGTCAACTCGCGAATGCGCCGCCCCTTCTCGCCTGCCCTCGCGAACGCGCGCGGCCCAGGGGGAGGGGGAGGGGCCGGGGACGGGGTGGGCGGAGGCGGGGGAGGGAAATGGGGGGAAGGCGGAAAAAAAAGGGGGAAAATGAGTGCAAGAGAAGGCGGGGGGGCGGAAGGGCATGGCGGTGTGCGGCAGGGAGCGCAGAGGCCCTTGTTGGCGACCTTCTCGGCGTAGAGCTCCACCGTGCCCTCCTTGAACTTGAACCGCTTCTGCACCACCGACGTCAACTCGCGGATGCGCCGCCCCTTCTCGCCTGCCGTGGAGCGCGGAGGGATCCAGGAAGGGTAAGAACGCAAATGTTTTCGACATACGAACTATTGAAGCCGAAATGATCGTATCGTCACACGAGACAAGGGAGGGGCGAAATCTAAGATTTCCACGCCAAAATTCGTGACTCTTCTGGCTCTGCCGACTCGCTGACGCGGAGTCTCGAATAATCGTGAGCGCGGAAACGCAATCTGACGTGGCTTACCGAGGACGTTCTGCGTGCGCGTGGCGCGGATGATGATCTCGACGCGCATGGGCGTGTTGCGCACCTCCACGCCCGAGTACCCCTCCTCCGCCAGCTCGCGCGTCAGCAGCTCGTTCAGCTCCGCGTAGAACACGCCGTCCGCCACAAACTGTTATAACAGGACAAGCAGTAGCGAGTAAAGTTGGGCCAAGAGCAGAATGAGTTAAAAAAAAACGCTCGCGCTTGAGCGGCTTGTTCATCTCCGCGTTAAACACGCCGTCAGCCACAAACTGTTGGTAGGACATAAATGGACATGCAATAGCGAGTACAGATGCATTAGGGTTCGCAAGAGAGCAGCTACTAAAGCTGGGCGTCGAGCCCGCCGTCCTTTGAAATCTGTCAGCAGAAACAGCGCAACGATGTGATGCGATACGAGACGAGCAAGATGAGCGGGAAAAAGAGTTCGTGAATTTGCAACGAACGGAAAGATCCGCGACGTCTCAAACGAAACAAGAGGAGGGCTGCGACGCTTGGGATCGATCGTGTGACGACGACAGAATGGTGACCTAAGGGAAAACTCGAAGCGCCACTAACGTGCCGAGAGAATGCTAAAGGCGGAGATACGACGCTTAGCGGGTCAGAGGACGAAAAAGAAACCGAGATGCACTCCCGTATGGCGCTAGTTCTCAGACCTAAAGCGTCAAAAGAGAAACAAAAACTCGTCCACTATTAATTTCAAATCTTGCGCTTTGACCAACGCACGAAGTTCACCGAATTCAGGATAAAAAGACTAGCAAGTAACGAACCTTCTTCTTCTTGTTCATGGTGGTAGCCATGATGTATGGAGTGCGACTAGACAAGAGGAACAGCGATCAAAGGGAGGAGGAAAAGATCCTAGGCGAGGAGGCGTAGGGTTTATAACGCTGGAGGCGGGAGGACGAGAGAAAGGGGAAGTGAGAGAAAGGGAGGGAACGAGGTGGGGAGGTGCGATAAACGAGAAGAGTGGTCGGGAGAGGGAGGGAGGGAAGAGGATGACCACAACACGCAACAAAAGCCGACGAAGGAGTAAACCCTGTCGCAGCGTAACCAGATTAGAAGTTGTAACAATTGTTTATAGCCCACTCTCGTACGTCAGTAGTCCAATGGTTAGGATATTTGCCTTCCAAGCAAAAGATCCGGGTTCGATTCCCGGCTGACGTAACATTCGGGCTGACAACATTTCTGCATTGTCGGCGTGTTCTCCCACGCGGACACAAATATTTGCTCCCGTCCCTAGGGCGAGGGTGAGAGTATATCATTGGGCCCGTTGGAGATGACGACGACGAGGAAGTGGATGTTTACCTTTTGTATTCTTGTATACCTTTTGTATTCTTGTAAACCTTTTGTATTCTTGTATACCTTTTGTATTCTTGTATACCTTTTGTATTCTTGTATACCTTTTGTATTCTTGTATACCTTTTGTATTCTTGTATACCTTTTGTATTCTTGTATACCTTTTGTATTCTTGTATACCTTTTTGTATTCTTGTATACCTTTTGTATTTTTGTATACCTTTTGTATTTTTGTATACCTTTTGTATTTTTATATACCTTTTGTATTTTTGTATACCTTTTTTATTTTTGTATACCTTTCGTATTTTTGTATAACCTTTGTATTTTTGTATACCTTTTGTATTTTTGTATACCTTATTGAAGTAGCAGGGTGGGTTGATGGGTTCGAGTAGTTTCGGGACAAATAGTGGAGACGTAAGGTCGCTTGGTAGACTTTGATCGCATGACGTCAGTGCGTAGCATGGATCCGGGCATGAAGACTTCAGCGCTCATAAAAAAAAAAAAAAGCATAGCGAATTATGGATGTTCGAGCTGCTGGAGTCCTGGAGTTTAAATGTAACCCTTGCATAGCTTCTCGGGTCTGTGAGAGAATTGAGGAATGATTGAACTAGAAACGAGATGGGTACAAGTAGCGAACACAAAAGTGTTGTACCCTCTAAGAACTACCCCACTACAGCCTAAACAGACTATAGCAGATATAAGTTTGACACACCCCCATAGGCAAAGTGGGGGAGAACAAGAGGTCACAAGACCAGTCAAGAAAGACAAAGCAAACTCAGGGTGGATCACAAAGTCACCACGCAGTCTGAGCACAAGCAAAGGGCCGCAAGGCCAGTTCACATGCAGAGTTATATAAAGGAAAGAAAACAATACAGTGAACACAACCTAGCAAATATAAGCATGCAGGTATATGTATATAGAGTACAGTACAAGCAGAGTCAAGAAGTCAACAAGTGAGGCACAGTAGGTACAAGGCCTAACACAGTACAGAAACGCTGATGATCACAAGGCTGAAGTGCCTTGGTGAAAACATCAGCAGTGTTGGCCTGAGAGGCCACGTAAGCAAGACGAAGCTGGCCACGCAGCTGCAACTCTCGAGCAAGGAAGTAGCGCAGAGCAATGTGCTTCGTTCTGTGCTCCAGTCTGTGCTCCTGACACAAGGCCAGCATGGCCTTGTTGTCGACGTACAGAACTGGAGGAGAACGAGGCGCCTCTCCCAAGTCGGTCAGCAGGTAGGTGAGCCAGCGTAGCTCCTGTGCAGCCATGGCCCCAGCGTAGATCTCAGCCTCGCAACTGGAGCTGAGAACAGAAGAAGAGCGGGTAGTCCGCCAAGAGACAGAACCGGAGCCAAGACTGAAGGTGTAACCCTGTGACGACCACTGCGTAGCCAAGTCGTCAACCCAGGAGGCGTCAGCATGACCAGTGAGGACAACTCGAGCCCGTCCTCCAAGCACTAGCCCCATGCCCGATGTACTGCACAAGTATCGCAACACCCTCTTCGCAGCATCCCAGTGCACCTTTCGGTGCCTGCCGGGAGCCACGTAGCGAGCCAGAAGGCTGAGAGGGTATGCGAGGTCAGGTCGTGCGCAGGTCATCAGGTACATGAGGCAGCCCACAAGCTCTGGATGCGGGCCACTCGACTCTACGGACTCGTCCGAAGGTGGAGCTGAGAGCGAGTGACCGGTAGGCAGAGGAGTGGACTGTGGCGAGGAGTACGTGAAGCCGAAGCGCTGAAGGACCTGCTGCACCATGTGTGACTGAGTCAAGGTAATGGTGCGCTGTGCTCTGTCCCGGGTGATCCGCAAGCCAAGATAGCTTGTCAGTTCACCCAGGTCTGTGCACGTGTGTCTCTTCTGCAGCTCGGACTTCACGTGGGCGAGTGCCTCAGTGTCAGCAGTAGCAAAGACGAGGTCGTCTACGTACACGAGAACGTAGAACGGCGGCAGAGTAGTGTCAGTACGTAGAAACAGAGAAGGATCAGCAGTGGAAGGAGCAAAACCAAGAGAAGCAAGAGTCGTCCTGAGTGTGTCGTGCCACTCACGGGTTGCCTGGCGGAGACCGTAGACTGGCCGCCGGAGGCTCCACTGGGTACCAGCAGGAAACGACCCAGTGAAGCCAGGTGGGCGGCGCAGCCAGATCTCCTCGTGCAGGCTGCCCTGCAGGAAGGCTGTGCTGAAGTCAAGTGAGTGGAGCTCGTAGTCACGCTGAGCAGCAACGTGCAGCAGTACCCGAAGAGTGGTCATCTTCGGGGTAGGGGAGAAGGTCTGAAAGAAGTCAACTCCCTGTCGCTGACTGAAGCCACGTGCAACGTAACGCGCCTTGAAGGCAGGCGGAGAACCCGGCGGCCGCTTCACCCTGAAGATCCACATGCCACTGACGATGTTCGCCCCAGGTGGGGGAACCTCGTCTACGTAGGTGCCTGTGGACTTCCAGGAAGCCATCTCTGCATCCATGGCTGCCTGCCACTGAGAGGAGTAGGGACCCTCTATCGCCTCTGCGTAAGAGCGCGGGGTCGGGATGTCTAGTGCATCCGGGTCTCCCTCAGGGGTCAGCAGCATGGACACGAGATGAGGTACAGAAGCAGCAAAGCACTCAAACTCCTCCTGTCTGTCCTCAAGAACGTCCGTGCCAAGAGCACACGCACCCCCGACGGACGGAGGACAGACAGACACAGACGCAGACTCAGCAACAAGACTAGCGGCGTAGTCTAGGCGACAGGCGGCAGCAAAGTCAACAAGCTTGGCAACAAGAGCAGACGCAGCAGAGGACTCAAACAGAGGGTCAGTGACAACAGTGGCCAGAAAGCGCGTGACAGTAGGACTAGCAGCACGAAGGGAGTCAGACGCAGGGTCAGGACCGTCAGGAAGAGAGGACGCAGGAGGAGACGGCAGAGGGACACGCTGTGGAGCAGTAGAAGGACGCAGAGTCATAGAGTGGGTGCCAGGGACAGGAGGAGGACGCGGACGCGAGACACGAACAACGCGAACAGAATGGACAGGAGACGTAGAACGAGACACATGCGACACAGGTAGCGACTCAGGCTCACGACGCTCTGTAAGACCTCTAGTCGGTCCAGAGTAAGGAGAAGGACCAGGTAGCGGAGAGGCCGGCTGTAACTGCGACTGCGAAGGGATAGGCAGTGGACTCAGGGAAGGAGGTGGAGGACCAGGAGAAGGCTGGAAGCCAAGAACCTGCTGAAGAAGCGGAACGTAGTACGGTCGCGGCCGCACAGCGCCTCCAGAAACAGCAGAGACAGAACCGGTACCCTCAGCCCTAGGGTCTCCAGTCCCAGTAGCACCACCAACACCAGCTCCAGCAGCAGCAGCTCCAGCAGCACCTCCAGCACCAGCAGCACCTCCAGCAGCACCAGCACCAGCAGCACCTCCAGAAGCTCCAGCAGCACCTCCAGCACCAGCAGCACCTCCAGTAGCACCTCCAGCACCAGCAGCACCTCCAGTAGCACCTCCAGCACCAGCAGCACCTCCAGCAGCACCAGCACCAGCAGCACCTCCAGTAGCACCTCCAGCAGCACCAGCACCAGCAGCACCTCCAGAAGCTCCAGCAGCACCTCCAGCAGTACCTACAGCAGCACCTGCACCAGCCGCACCTCCAGAAGCCCCAGCAGGACCTCCAGGAGCTCCAGCAGCACCCCGACAGCGCCGAGAGTACCACTCGCGAAGCTGCTGTGGAGAGAGAGGCTCCCGCCGCGGCGGGACACCGAGAGCACCTCCAGACGCAGCACGCGCAGGCTCAGCACCTCCAGACACAGCACCCTCTGGCTCCACACGCCCAGGCTCAGTACCCCTAGGCTCAGCACGCCCAGACTCAGCACCCCCAGACTCAGCACCCCCAGTCCCCGCACCCGCAGGCTCAGCACCCCCAGACTCAGCACCTGAGTCGACAGCTACCTCGACCGGCTCGGCAGGGTCTACCTGGGACACACCTGAGGGGGCAGGACCCTGGGGGGGGAGGGGGTCTACCGGAGGAGTACCTGGGGCAAGGAAGAGCGGCGGGGGGGGGGGGAGAGGCAGTGCGGTAGGGAAAGAGACGGTAGTACGACACCGACTCGTCAAACGTGGCGTCCTGAGAGGACAGAACACGACGCAAGGTGGGGTGGTAGAACTGCCACCCGGGTGCGTCAGGAGGAAAGCCAAGGAAGACACAGGGAACGGCACGGGAGGACAGCTTGTCCGCTGTAGTATCGCGGACAAAAGCTCGAGATCCCCAGACACGGAACGCGGACGCATCGCCAACCTTCCCCGTCCACCGCAGAGTAGGTGTGGTCTCCGGCAAGGAGACACGAGGCTGAAGGTTGATCTGATGCGATGCGTACTGAACCGCGAACGGCCACAGAAAATGGGGAGCAGCCGCATGGATCGTGGACGTACGAGCGACGTCCATGACCATGCCAATGCGGCGCTCAGCAATCCCATTTTGCTGCGGGGAGGCCGGAAGCGTGAACGTTTGGCGGATGCCCTCAGAGCGACAGAAGGCTCTCAGGAGGT